GCACTTCAGCTGTAGCCAGCCAAGCCCCTTTACGAAACCAACGGTCTGAGATTTCTTGTTTCGCCCGCAGCAATCGACCCCTATCTAGCAAAAATCAAACCAAACCACACATGGCTTTCACGCAGCCGCAAGGACGCTGATTTCTGTGCGCTTGCATCTTTGTAGCAAAATTTTATTCGTGAATTCGCTTCGTTTGTTGCTCTCTTTTGCGTGATTTAGCTAAGAAAACGAAGTGTGGGGCTAGGATAGAGGAAGCGATTGTCGCGTCAAGGACGCGACTATGCCGCTTTACAGTTCCTTTGGCACTCGCGCTGCTGGTTATGAGCCTTATTTTTTCCTTGCAACCAATACTAGTGACGTAGCGGTTGATGCTAGGCTCTCCAAATAGGTCACTGGTTTCTGAAAACCCCAGCTCATTGAGTACTTTTTGCATCGCTTCACTGATACCTACTGGCATCATCCAGAGCTGGCAAAGAAACTCTATGCAGTATGGTGGGACATGCAAAATATGCCAATGCTATTAATATGGGCGTCACTTTTTATCCACACCGGCCAGTAGTCATCGGTGGTTCTGGGGAGCAATATCGTAGATCTGTTCGCTGCCTTGAACGCCTCCTGCAATATGACTTGCAGTGAAGTGTATTGGGGGTACCACCAACGTGGTCGCAGACGCGCTCTCACGACCACACAGCGGTTCTGTACTTCGAAGCACAGCTGCCATTGTCTGCTATGGCTCTTTTTTCTACCAAACATGCGGTCGTCGTATGTTCTAAACACTCTGGAATCCGCTACTTTTTCCAAAATTCACTTTGACAGACGGATGAAACACCAATATGTTGAGAATAACCTGCTGTGGTTCAGTAAAAAACTACGACTTTTATGTACAGGTGTACTTCACTCCGCGGTGCCAAAGTGCATGACCATGTCCTTTCGGACCATCTGGGACTCATGCTACTTTGGAGCAGCTCTCACGATCATTCTAGTGACCTTGGGTGCGTTCCGCGGCAGAGTAGAATGCACCGTCATACCCAGATTCGCAGCAGGTGCAGGCACCCAATGCACTAAAATTATGCCTTATCCAAGGAATTTCAGCTCAGAAAACGATGGCTAAAATCACTGGATTTTGTTATCAGACGGCCTGAATGTAACGGGTCAGGTTTCATCCCTTGCCCCAGCTCGGTCACGGTTCAAAAGGCTACGCAAATATTCGTGGCTCGTGCCTAAAAGCTACATGGAATATTAAGGAGTATCAGCACGAATGAGGACCCAAAGTTAGTTTGCTCCTTTTGCCATGGCTCTGTGACCCGCCACCACATTTACTATACCATGAGCACTGCGAACTATGCTGAGTAAGACGGGGATAGAAAAAGCGCCAACTGTATTCTTCTGCAGTATTTTCAGCTTTACGCCTACACAAATCGAATCGCTGAGCTTGGGGCTCTTTCTTATACTAAGTGAGGTCATTATGCCACCGTACATCTTCATATCCGCTCTTCCTCTGCAGCTCTGGCCTTCACTGTGGAGCCTGTCTCCGTCCAAGCCTGCACTTTGTGGTTTAGAATCAGCACCCACCATTCGCAGCGAAGCGTATCCGGAAAGAAGGTGGCTAGCGCACGCGGATGTTTGCGTGAAGCTCAAGAGAAAAAACCTTGAGATAATGGCGATCGGAGGTTGGCTGTGTGTATCGAGCCTGAACACTTGGCTTTGGTAGGCTTCCAGGGTTTGGGAGGTGCACAAAAAAGGTACGATGAAGGTGCTTGCAATCAGATGGCAAGGATCATTTGGCTTTTCCGAAAATTGGATGCTCTTTACTCTATGGACTCCACTAAGAGCTGGAGGCGCTGCAGATTTGTCAATGTCGACTTCCTTCAAGAGTTGCGAAGCTCTTCGAATTGTTTGCAAATTCTGACGCGCAAGTAAGTGACCTACATGGCAGCGGAAATCTATAGGAAGCCGTGGTCACTGTAGATTTTAGGACTATAGAGCACTGAGGACCCACTAGACGGAAGATTTAAGTGAAAGGGTCGGTACCGCCTACCTAAGTGGTTGGTAGATGAGGTTTGAGCGTTGTTGCCTACGAGCCTTGCAGGCACTGCTAAAACTGGTGTACATTTCGAGTCCCTTAACACATTTAGCGTTTTTTTGGTTTTCTCATATCAGTAAAGAGCGAAAAGCTCTGCCGTGGTGGTGCTGCCCCGGTCCCTCTCTGTTGGTGCCTAGTGCCAGTGCTTTTCTTTTCTTCTATTTATCCATATTGGTGGATGCACACCTTGCTTGTCTCACTTGCTCGTTTTCATGGCTTCTGTCTTTCTGGAGACTGGCGATATGGCAGGAACTCATGTGCTACCATTTACGCGCTTGGTTTCGCTACAAAGGTGCGGAACAAGACGGCACGGCTTCTTGGAACAAGAGGAAACATGTAGCGAGCAAAGTTACACTCAGTAGATTTAGACCACACCACTAATCCTGAACTCGATTTCGGTAAACAATCGACTAATTGGTTTGTATTTCCTTTTATTTATCGCAGAGCAGCGTCAGTTGCGCACCACAAAGCGCAACTGGTGCGCGTGGGCTAGATGCCATGTGCAACTAGCTGTGCTGAAATAATGACTTTCTATTTGGTCTTTATTAAGTGTGCAGTTAAGTGTCCCCTAACAAATACTTTGGAGGGAGCTTTACTTCGTTTGCCTGGTCAAGAAACGCTGTAGGCTAGGAGAGGTGCTAGCTGACCTACAGCTGGGGCGTTGGAAGTGGAGTCGAGAATTTAATGGCCTTTTCGTGATCCCTGACTTCAACACCCTTATACGTACGTATTCGATTTTAGCGCACTTTACAAGGTTAATCACTTGAGTCACCTCAATTGCTACATGTTGGCAAAATTATGTATTACCATGGGGTCAAGGTGATAGGTAGGCGAGATACTCCCAGCATCCAGCACACGGGTAATACAACATTGCATGTTGTCGTGTTGGGCCTGGTTTACTTTTGAAAAAAACAACAGCATATACGAACAGGCAAACTTGATAGACCAGCCTTTATTAAATATAAATTAAATGTTCTTAGTGTAGTAGAAATAGCCCAAGTCCATGCTTAGCCCAGTAGTACTACCAGGTTTCAGTCAGAAACATGGCCTCAGTCGTAAAGCAATCCATGATTAAATGTGTTTCAATGGCCGCAATGGTGTAGAAGTGACTTGCTATGTCACCTGCACTCACCATGGCAAAGTTGTGTTGGCCCGTAGGTTGCATGGACTGCATACCCCAGCTGGTCCAGCAGCAAGTTAAGCTCACATCTATTGAGTTTCATGTGAGGAAAAGCAGCACAACATTTCAGGCTGCATGTATGAATGCAAGCTTTTATATTTGAGGTATGAGCTGTGAAACGGAAGGAGGTGCCGGTATACACTGCTGCTGTACTCAGACATACGCTGTCGCGAACAGCAGTGCACAGTTCATTCCTGTATTACATGACATGTTTTTGCATCACGGGTTTCACATGGTGCATAGATTTGAGTTGCTAGACATACATGAGTTCTAGGTAGTATCGCGCTATGCCATCGCCAAAATAGATCTGTTAGCAACACCAATGCATGCCACCTTGATGAACACTTGCGGAGCAGTGTGTCACAGGGGCTCCAATCCTGATAATCCTAGTTTGCCTGCAGCAAATAAGGATATATCCAATGTTTCAAACGCTAGTAAGAATAATTCCTTTGCCAGGTTCCGTGTTAGATCGTAAGGAACTGCCCCCTACAGGTATATGTAGGGGCTGGTAGGTGGCAACGGGGCTACAGGACCGCATATTCGCACATTTTCAAATGTGGACTTGTGGAGGCACAAATTTACCTTTGCTCGAATCAGCTGTTAAATTCTATGTAAAGCAATAGTCTGGCAACATCTGAGCTACCCCAAGATATTTGGACATTCCCGAGCACCAGTGCTGGGTGTGTGTGGCTGGTGTAGCGACACCGATCTGTCCCTCGTATTCAGATCCGTCTGCGCCAATTGTTAGAGCACAGTGTTTTCCTTAAGTGTTCTGGATTCCGGTAGGTACAAGTATTTTGCCTAAACATATGGTCATTTGAAGTGACACCAGCCCAACGACTGGACAGTAAGTGCATGTGAGAGGCCCGCCAATTTCGATGTACTATTCTGAGTTGCCGAGTGGGCTCTTTACTTCAAGGGGCTTTTTGTTCGTTCACTATTCTTTCATGAAAGGAACAGATATATGCTGCGCTAGTACGCGACCATTCTATGTGGAGCCGCGAAGCCGGTCGTTGTGGTGGCCCACGCAATCGTCCATTTCCATCCTCAACACTCCCTAACGTGCTGCTGCGTAAATTACCTGATCGCCCTACTTCAGCTTGGCTCCGCAGGCCATGATTTTGCTGTCGGCTGTAGAATAATTGTCGGGGTTAAATGTTCCCCTAGGATCGTCCTTTATCCTGGACACTTAGATCTTTAGCTTTCAAACATTGACTCATCCGCAAGCTGAACACAAGCCACAACTTCCTCATGTCATGCCTTCCGGAACCGTTGCAATTACCATTACTAGGGTCATATGAGCTTCGTATCTTGCTCGCAATTTCAATTTAATTTCATGGAGTGACCAAGAGTGCAAGCCGTATCTTCATCTAGCATACGAATTCTCCAAAATTCTCTAGATATAGAAAAGCCTTACAACTATCTGCGTGATTTTAAGGGGAGCACGGCTGCTTTAGTCTGCGCGCTGCCAATTGGTCAATTTTCAAAACCTCGGGATCCACAAGCCAGGACAAATGGAATTCCAGGAACAAGCCATATTAAGAGCTCTATTTTAACGGTGTCACTAAAGCTGGAAGTGGCGCCAAAGGTTAATGCAGCGCTTTTGCGGACTGTATCCATTTAGCTGGAAGCTTCGCCAGCATGAACAAACTGGAGCATGTTTGCACAAAGTAAGGGTCTAGACTACTGTGTACGGTTACCATCACCTTCTGATTTTGCTTTTGCATACGGTTTTAAATGGATCATTCCACTAGAAAGGACGCACTGCTGGGGACAAGCGAAAACACCCCTTCGCTTGCGGGTCCACTGGCAGAGGCCACCAGTCGAATACTTTCGTTTTTGTCACACTCACAATTAAGGCAGCAGCTGGAGTGCCAAGTACGCTACTTCCTTGCAGGAAAGCTGCTGAATTTTACGGGCTATGGGGAGCTTTCAGGTGAATATGAGGTCGCACCACAAACATCACCGTCCAAGATTCTTGTGGGCAACTTTTCACTGCGGCCTTTTGGCACTGTCTCAATGACCTTAGAGGGGCAACCACGGCTGAAAAATAGCCTCGCATTCAAGGCAACGGTGTCCATCGTTCTCGCGTGGCTGAACACTCACGGGCTTGTTCACACAGCTGGTGTACTGTGTCCAGAGGCGGCAATGCGCGACACTGACGTGCTGTCAGAGGACGAATGTGTAACCGTTCTACACCTACCAGAAGCGCTCCTTACATCTTTGCAAGCTTCTACCGCATCTGAAACTCATTGGTCTTTGCTTGATCATTTGGTGGCTGCTGCTGCCCAAAACAATACTCATATTAAAGCCCCCAGGGCATCGCGGTCACCAAGAAGCTGCAACAGTGCAGCAGATGCAGGTGAACTTCGAAAAGCAAGTGTTGGAGCAGAAGTCAGCAGATCGCAAAGGATTCCTCGTAACTTCTGCGAAGTGGGCAGTGCACAAGGCACCTGCTTCAGATACGCGCCAGTAGCCCGAGCTCTCACAGGGGGAGCTTTCAAGAGGGCCTCTTCCCGCAAACTTTTTCATGAGCCAAGATGTACCTCCATCCGTCCATCCCGTCCCAACCTTGTTGCTTGCGTAGGCAAGCCAAACTGTAGTAACACAATCCAGTTGTGGCAAGAAGAAGCAAGGACTCACTTTCATCTTCTAGAGGCACATTTAAGAGGCATCGAGCTACGGGCTTCCTCTGAGAAGCTTTTGGTGGCCAACTTAGAAACCCGTCAAGCGATTGGCCAGCGCCTTGCCTCTTTTGAGTATGAGCATAGACAGCGCATACGGCGGTTACAAAAGTCACTGGATCAAGCAACAGAAATTCGGAAAGGTGTGATAGGAGAGTCTATGCGCCAAGCTCAGCTCGTGATTCGTGAGGCTCGGCGGAGACTACGGCTCCTGATTCGCCGGCAGAAGAGGGCTGAGGAGGGTCTTGCTTCTCGCGCGAGAGACGTTACCGAGAGGGAGCAGCGTGTTTTTGAAAAGGAGGCGCGCTTATTGAGATACGGGCTCCCGAAAATGGTATGGGAGAATGCAGTAGGGCAATGCGAAGAGCATAATGAGCTGCCCCAGAGTAGCGGTAGTCCTCCATTGCAGCTCTTGAGAGCAAACCAACAGACAGATATGCTGGATGGTCAGCTGCATGGTTGCAGCGTTTCTTATGGAAAGTACTCTGAATCTCAGCTCAATGGCGAGCATGGAGCAGGTAAAGAGCCATTTGCCTTAGTGCACCAAAGCCCTAGTCACACGCACTCGCCTGAAAAAAGTAGTATCGAGCAACCTGCGGCAAGGATACTTAAGGAATACGAGTGCCGTGTGATGCGGCTCACAGAAAAGCTGCAGCGGAGCTCTGACCAAATAAGGAACAAGGAAGCGGAGTTTACGCTTTTAGTCGCAGAGCTTGAATCAGCCAGACAAAAAAACGCCGAGGCACAAAAACGGATAAAACGAATGCAAAGGCGCTATGAAGCAGCACGCTCTCTCTGTGCACAGCAAAAGTACTTGGCAACTTCGTTGCTGATCCCCCGGAATTCCGAGGGCCTTGATGTAGAGCCTACACTCGACGCATCACCACAAAATCTCACTGATGCATCCGAAGAACGGGATGGTCTGTTGAAAATCAAGGCAATGCATTCGGATGTAACGTGGAACGGCAAAACTGGGACAGATGCGTGCCTGGTGCTTCAGAACAGCGGCCTCGACGCTGCAGAAGAAACTCTACAGTACAAAGCCATTCGCCCATGCGGGGATTCTGATGCTGTAGAAATCTTTATGGACTTTCATGGGTGCCCATGCAATGCAGCATCGCAAAGCCTGGAAGTGACAAAATCCCAGCCAGACCGCGCCACAGCAAAGGCAGACCTAGCCGAATGTATGCCCCAGGGACTGTTCCACAGCTGCCGCTGCCATGCCTCTGTGAAGCAAGCACTTGGGTATCCTTGTCGTAAACAGTGTTGTTGTTCGAGTAGGCTTCATGACGGGGTCATCAAGACGGCTGACACCACACAGGGAATAATATCATCCCCATTGTCCCTGAACAAGTATGAGATAGCAAGTCAGATGCCTACAAAGGCCGTGCATTCTTGCTGCAGTTCATTGAAAGGATGCCCACCAACATTGGATCCCTCCCACATCAAGGTGCAGTCAGCTACGCCAGCCGATGGCGTGGGGGGAGGAATGCATTCATGCGATGATACCCATCACTGCCGCGCACCTGCATCGGCTTCCTGCACTGTAAGTCCCTCTAAATCACCAATGCGATCTCAGGAGAGCCTTTGTAAGTCAACGTCACTGTTGAGCCACACGGGTTCAGCTTCTGAAGAGACCCCACAAATTGCAGGTCAATGTCAGATGACTAAGGGTAGTTGTAGTATGGAAGACGGTGACCGGGCCAGCCTGTCTCCCAGCTCGGTTTCCGGCGAGGACAACCGTGGCACTTCTCAATCTCGGGTAACTAAAGAGAATGTACCCAGCACTCGAGCAGTATCCCCCAGGTTCTTTGACCGTTCCACAGCTTGCAGAGTGACTGGCTCTGGGGGACGAAAGCCTTGCAGCATAGGGTGTGGAAAGGTCCTTTCTCCTGTCGGTGACGTTTTACGAAGCCAAGACGCAACAGCCTCAAGTAATTCTCAGAGGTGTGTTACAATCAGAACAGCCCAAAGAGTCTCTCCCGAAAGCAAAATAATATCAGTGATCCCTGTTGAGGAGAACAGCATGTATCCTGCGAACAAAACGAACTCAATGCACGTGACGCAAGACACGATGAGCACGAAATACACCTCCGCGACTCCTGTGATTGCGAGTGGTACCACACAACATAGCGCAGTCAAGACCCCTACTCCCCCAATAGAAAGCCCTTTGCGTGTTGGGCTAAATTCGTGTGTAGGCCGTACAACGAAGGCCTGTGTGCCGTCAGGCAGTTCGCCCGTGGCTGCCTCTGTGCAGAGTATTTCTTGTGCACCAGTTGGGATTGACAGCCAAACTTCAGTTCAGCACTCCCAGTTAGCGTTAAGTGAACGGGAGGAGCAAGTTCCCCTTTCCCCTGAACAAAGCCCTTGGGGTGAAGCATCTATTGCGTCTTCCCTTCCCGGGTCCCCTGAAGTCCTTTCAAACTACCCTTCTTTCGCCTGTCCTGTAGCTGCCACCCCCGAGGGAGCTGTTGCACTGAATAGCTCTGACATGTGCCCCGGCGGATGTCCCACCGTGCTGGGAAGGCAGGCTGCCTTGGACGACAGTGCAAATTCCTTTTCCCCTTCCGAGCACGACTGGTTAGCTTGTGACACTACGCCACTACCTCACTCCGCTATGCACTCACCCAAAGGGTGAGAGCTAACCTGGATTTTAAAAATTTCTTGGAGAAACGCATAGGAAGCGCTCATTATGACAGCCCCATGGGATTCCTGTCCTTGTTGTGAACAAAATACCTGCAGTCCAGTCCTAACCACACTTGAACTATTTTTGTGGTGGTCTCACCGTGGATTTAGCAAAGTAGAATTATGTGTCAGTACTAAAAGCAGCAAATTGCCGCTGAACTGTGACATTTTACATCCATGCATATGGAAGGGAAAAGTGAAGCAGCATTACAGGCGTGGCGTGGGGTCCCATAATAGTGGCACATACAGCTGCACCATGCAATCACTTTTTCTCACGCAATCTTGCAATTGGCATGCCTCCAGCAACATGATAGGCACGCGAAAGCTCTACTACTTATGTACTAGCGTCTAAACGTCACATTATTTGTGTGTAGCTGCATCTTTTAAAGGCTTGGCATAGCCACAAAACAAACGGACATGTTTCGTGAACAGTCACCTGCCTACTAAAAGATCAATTCTAGGGAGAAAGCTGCCTGTGAAAGATGTATGAGGCTCGTAATTCCATACGCTTCGATGCTTTGATCCCGACTGTACAACTTATGTTAAAGGCTAATCCCTGAGACAGGCACATTAAGGAAACATAACAGCCTTCAAGAGACCACCAGGGAGTGCTGGAGCATTCTGCTGCATTCAGTCCGGCGAGCGTGCCTTATTGGCAGCTTGGAGACGAGACATGGCAGATGGAGGAGTAAGCATCTGTGGAAAGTTGAAAAGGCTTATACAGAGAGATTTTGCAGCAGAGAATCAACGTACAGCAAAAATGAATCGACGGAGAAGACTGCTCCAGCTGGTTATTCCGATCGTTGTCTACAGGGGATCATATATCACAAAAGAGGCAGAATCTGAAGGATTTCACGCATATAATTGACAACTCAAAAAATTTCAATGACGCTTCATTGGGAAACCAGAAGGCAGAAGACCTACTTAAAAGGTGCAGTTTGATCCTCATCTCCCAGGGCATGGCGGGCTGAGCTAGATTTAACCAGTTTCTACTACACCAGTCTATTAAGCAAAAATTAGCAAACGATTGACTATTGGCTTGCGGGTACTACGAGCTGAGAAAAGAAGGCGCAGTGGTGTGTGTATGTGCGCCATGTGTGCAACAAGCTGCGAATGCTCGGAGACCTTAGAGGGTCCAGGTACGCGCACCCTAGCTGTCCTTACCTCTTAATGACAGAATCCTTAGGAGAACAGGCAGAGGAAGGCGGGGTCACTTTTTGAAACACCCAACAACTTTCTTTGTAGTTTGAATTGAGTGTGAACTAATGAGTGTTCTTACGAAGACTTGGGATGGTATGGTACAGTGCTCATAATCTGGCAGTACGCGTACGGGAGGAGCTGAAAAGGCTTATAAGTGCTTTTGCTGTGGCATTGGCTTCCTTTGTTAAGCTCTCGTGCTACATCTTACTAGAAAGATGATTAGAAGGAGCACATATATAAGCAAACTCAGGTATGAAATTTCGGGGATATGATGCAGTTGCAATAGAACGCCGCAAAGTTCTACCGTGGGCGTGATGCAAAGACCACGCCTTGGCTTAATTTTTGCCGGAGCCTGCTCAATCTTTGTAGCCAGAAGAGGAAAATCTAAGAAACGGTTGTTCCCATGACAAATGAACACTTGCGGCCCTTCATGCACCACTGCATGACCCATAAAAGCCGCTCGGCTGACGACTAAGATGTCGTCCATCTGGACAACAGTCCACCCCTCCTTGAGATGCCAGTAAATATCCTACGTGATTTTATGTTTCAGTATAGCTGGAGCAAACAGAACCACAAAAGGCATACACGCTTGCGAACGCCAGTGTGGAACATCGCTCCGTGCCTGTCGCCAGGCAGAGCAACGATTTATACGAAGGCGTCTGTGAAGTCAAATGCTGAGTACTGATACGTGCGGCCTGCCAAGAAGACTCTACTAAGACGCGTCATGAACTTGTGCTCCACAGCAATTTGGCTCAGGAGCTTAACACACATGCACACTTTCTGTTCTTTCTCGACACTAACACTGCTTTACGCCCAACAGCGCTGGTGAATACCTGCACTTTGACCATCTTCACCATACATCCACCTGCCCCTCAATCACCTCTTCTTGCTGTGACAGCTTCTGATGTCGCGGGAGCAGTGTGAAGCCGACTCAGGGATTGGCTCAATACTGTGCGCTGGACGAACAGCATCTGGCCAGCCTGCCGGCGGCTCATCAGTAGCTAAGACACCAGCAAGCTCCTCCTTGACGTTCGCCCAATCCTAACGTGCATCGGATATGTGCTCGATTGCATTCCTTAATTTAGAAACCAGTTGCAGAGCCAAAAAGATTGGCTGCATGCTCAGAACCCTCCTTACTTACTGTGCTGCTCAGCCACCTGCTTGACGAATCTTCCTCAC